TTCAGTTGAGCTTTGCGCTTTTGTGACCGAACAATTACATCTTTTATCTCATCTTTATGCCAGAAGAGGTTTTAAATCTCGCTCTCTCCTTAAACGCCAATCCGGCCATTCGTGGTCAGTTTCCCTCTGGCCCAGCCAAATAGTTCAGTTTGGCGTCCTGTTTGTCGAGTGGCTGAGTTGTTGAAGCTTCCTGGGTCTGTTGAACTGTCGGAACACATGACTCTCATGTTCTCTCGTGTGCACGGAATTCGACTTGTCCGTGTGCGGCCCGATTGACCCGTTTGTCTGCATGCGCAGTTTCTTCGTAATCGGTTGAACTGTGTGATGCCGTTCATTCTAGATACGAAGAGAAAGTCGGTTTGGATGCATCTCCTGAGAATATCGCATAAAAGCCAACCGGCTGCAGTACAACGAGTTTCATGCGTCCTCGTCTGGCGAGATCGACCAACGAATCTCTTGCTCATGCACTTTCATTCGAAATGAACGCCGTTCATTCTGTTCACTCTCGGCTACGCGCCCGTGGCCGCCCGCTCGAGCCTCGACGTCCTGGCCTGACGTCTGGCTGCGGCAAGTCCAGACATTCGCCTCTCGACCGGTCATTCAGTTGGCATTTCGCTCGCCAAGTCTGGGCTCACGGACACGAACGCAACAGCCCACTCGGCAGTCACCACGAGCATGCCTTATTTTGAGGCCTGCGCGCAAGACAGTCAAGCAAGCACACATTGAGTCTGTCTATATGTGTGTGTGTGTGTGTGTAAGCCAGTCTCTTTTTTTATACCGGAGCTCCAGCTATCAAACGTTGTATTCGCGTGCTTCTGACAGTCGGTTATCGATCGGTCAGTTTAAATATTTTCGCCTTTAGGCGTAGTGACATTATTTTGTACAAACCGTGTGATTCGTCTTCGGTGATATCTGCTTTCAAGCCGGCGAAACGTTAACGCTACCGATGCCACCAACTTCAGCTTCTCATCTGATCACATATTAATGCGTCCATCTATTCAGCCAGGCACAACCGCATGCTCGTTTGTATGTGTGTGTGTGTGTGTGTATTCTTGCCGTTCTAGTTATATAAGGGCGACTTTTCTACTACTAATTTGTCCCGGCAGCTGCACTGCCTTTCAGCCATCTCTTAGGTCCGGCTGCCTCCGACAGCCTCATCTGCGGGCCTTTTTCACCTGCTTCCATCGCAGTTTGCACGCTTGTTAGTCTGCTTGTCTTCTGTTCGGTTTGTGTGCGTGTTTGTGTATGTGTATATATGTATGTGTGTGTGTGTGTGTGTGTCTTTTCTCCGGATCCTCTGCTTCGTTAGACAGGGCATATTGGCCCTAATTAAAATGGCTCTCGAGTGTTTGGCCTTTTCGGCCGCGGACCAACTGATGCATCATCGATCGACATGTTATTCACAAGCCCGTGTCCCTTCCTCAAGCCGCAGATCTGTTGATTGCATAAACAAATACATTGAAAGTCAACAATTAAAGGTTTATGTGGAAAAAGTATGTATCGTCTCGAGTTGCTGGCAGGCAGATGTTCTTTTGCTCGTCTACTGCCTTTTCCACACATCTGCGATTCTCCTTGGCCTGTCGGTTTGCATCTCCACGTTGCCACGGGGGACTAGGGGACCTGTATCAAGGCGCAGGATGGGCTGAGGGGCGCCGACAACATCGAGTTGTTCTATGGTCAAGGTCAATTTGGGTGCTTTGGTAGAGGATCTGCCTGCGTTCAACTGCCAGCTGTAACGTTGTGTCATTGACAGCGCCTCATTTATCCAAATGATCGCTCTTTTCCGGTATTTGTTGCAGGTTAGATCGCGTCTGAACATGAGGATCACTTCTGTTGGGATCAGTTGGATGCGTTTGTATAACTCACACAAAAATCATACTCTTTCTTTTAGTGGCTCTGACAGCCAAGCTAGGGAGGCCTTTTGTTCTATTGCCTGCACACTTTGGTTGGTTGGCTTTCGAGGATTCCCTTTTTGACGAGTAGCTGTATGGTGCTTAGGATGGCGATACTCACTGA